GGAACTTGAATGCCTGCAGATTTGGTATTCCCTGGCATCCGGGACCCAATTCACCCTTCTCTGGAGGGACGATGTCCCGTGCCAGGTGCTTGTGCTGTCCCTGGAACTGGGCTCTCCACGACACCCCACGCCGCCTCCTACTTCCTGTCCCTCACAGCAGGGCAGGAGCGCCAGGCAGATGCAGATGCAGATGTCCTCCATGAGGACATATGTGGTGAGAAGCCCATCCCCAGAGGAGGAGGCAGAGAACAAGCAAGTAAATAGGCCCATACTTTTGCGTGTGGTAAGTGCTGGGAAGGATGGACCGTCAGTGACAGAGAGCCACAAAGGGGTGAGGGCAGGAGTCCTGTGTGAATTCGGGGGACGAGGGGAGGGAGGGGTTCAGGAGGAGCTCTGAGAAACCTAAACAAGAAGTAGCAGTCCCGCTGAGAGCAGTGGGCAGACTGAGCAGCAAGTCTAGACTCTAAGGCAAGAAACAAAGGAAGGCTACAACAACTGAAATACAGAGAGCAAGGGGAGGGCGAGACCCAGGGCACGAGCCAAGGTATGTGAGAGTGGCGCCACACGTGGATCCCAGGCCACACTACCATTGTAAAGAACCTGCAAGTCACGCCCGGGAAATGTCCAAGCAGCTAAGGCTTTTAAGCAGCAAAGAGACAAATGCTGAGCTCTGTCTTGTGTCTTTTGCCGGCCACGGTAGGCAATGGGTGGGGAGGCCGTTGGGGCCTGTCAGGAGGCTGTGGGAGCTCCAGGTGTCTGCGGCCCGGGGCAGCCGTGGGTGGCCCCCCAGCTCGTGCGGGGCTGGCTTGACTCAAAGCCACAGCGTCTCCGGCCCCAGCACAGGTCTCTTCGCAGTTGGGATTAGAGACATGTTAATGAGGACAATATCTTAAGGTTTTCAGATGGGTGGCTGGAGTTTATTGTCAGTTTCTAGTTGAAGGCTGTGCTAGTTAGAACATAGATTAGGTGAATTATTGTAGAAAGCCCTAAAACGAACCAAACATGACAGTACTTTAAACATGACAGTGCCGAGTAGAAGGTCTGGCTGGGATGGTGCCTTAGTCCCCTGTCTTGCATCTTTACAATCCCTTTGGTCTAAGATGGTGTTGCACCGCATCCACAGAGCCACTCGGGGGAGGGGGAGGAAGAAGAAGCCATCCTTCCCAAAAGCACACAGAAGAACCTAGAACATGCAACCCATCACTTCCATAAACACCCCAACCCACAACACACAGCATTCTTAGCTGTAAGATATATGGAGATGTAGGTCGTTATTATGACCTATCCAGCTACAATTCCAAAGCATTCAAATGGGGAAATGGGTATTAGGCTAGAAGTGTTGGCCAGAAGCCTGGGGGACAGGCCATGGCTCCCAAAGGCGTGCAGCTCTCCAGCCGGAGAGCGGGGAGCCAGTCCCACTGTGAGCTGGCCTGGGCTTCGGGCCACAGGCTAGACTTCCTGTACAGACATTTGCACTTGCCACAGCATCGGGGCTGTGGTCTGTGATCAGTGAAACAGGCTTCAACTTAAATTAAACTCATTGTTGCACTAAACTCAAACTCAGGGCCTTGCACTCTTCTCAGCTTTTTTGCCCAGAGCTAGAGTGCTTCACATCCCACCTTCCATCTTTTTGACGGTCATTTAGAGATAAAAGCCTCTTAAATTTTTTCCGCCCATGTGAGCTCCCAACCTCAATCCTCAGATCTTAGCCTCCAGAGAAGCTGGGATTATAGGTGTGAGCCACCAGTAACCTGAATATATTTACTTCTAAGAAGATACTAAGGACACAGCTACCACCAGTAGGAAGGCATCAGCATGTTTATCTTGATCAAGAAGCTTGCTCCCTTCCAGTACTGGGGAAAGACAACAGACTTGAGCTTCAGGGATGGGGTGCAGACACCAAGCAAGTCTGTGCGTGTCTTTGGACCTCATTACTTCCCTTCTGTTATATGAGGACAGAGGAGTCTGTAAGGTTACAGTGAAGATTATGTGAAATTAGAAAGGCTGGCCCATAGCCATGCTTCATGGATGTCACCATTCCCGGCCTAGGATGGCAGAACATAAAACGGATTGTAGGTGAGAAGTCAGATTTGTGGGTGGACGTCTGCACAAAGCTGAAGTCTCTGCCTTAAATGCCATGGCTGAACTGTGTCGTCCATGCCCGGATCGTGCTGGCAGGAAGGTACGGACGAGGTGTGGGGGGCTGGGGTCTGACCTAGTTCTTCTGGTTCCTATGTCAGCAGCCTCTCTTTCTCCCCCCCCCCCCCCCTCAGCAGAGACTCTCCAGGAGGAGAAAAGTCAAACTTCCGTACCCAGAGGGCACAGTGTTTTCCCACAGAAAGAAAGTCAGGGCAAGATGACGTTAACAACAAACTTTCCTGGCACTTGGAACCAGATACCTTCCCAGCTGTATTATTTCATTAACCTCCTATGATAGCCTATGAGGCAGACAGTATAGATATTATTCCTTTACACATGAGAAAGACAGAACTTGAGATTGAGTAAGTGTCTTGGCCAACATCTCAAAGTTAAGAAGGCTCCCCACGTGGGTCATAACACGAGCCTCCTCATTCCTGGGCTCTGCCATGTCACCGGGGGACAGCAGAAACAGGCCTGGGACCACCTGTGGCCGAACTGGGCTGCCCAGCAATCCTCAGAAGCCTGGGGGAACTGTATTTGTCCTATGAGTAAGGCAGAAAGTCCATACTAGACATGTTGGCTTAAACAGTGGTAATTGAGTGCTATGGCAAAAGTGGAGGCTTCTGTGGTACTTGGCATATTAAGGTAAACGATGCTTTTATTTATAAGCCAGGTACCTGATGATACTGGGATTGCTGCCTCACCTGCAGTGGATAAGTAGAACCATCTCACGACCCATACTGCTATGGCAAGCCAGGTCCTCGGTCCCACCTAGATCTGAAAACTGATCAGCTTTGCTCCCTTCAAATATCAGGCAACTTCTGTGACTTTGTCCTGGCCTGGAGGCCAAACATCATGAGAGCTTCTTTGTACCATGAAGGGGGTAGAATGTGCATGGATTTCTCTTTTCTCCATAAAGATCTGCTTAAATTGAAAGGAGACTTTAAGTTCTTTGCAAGATCCTTGACATTAGCAAGAATCCCCACAACTGCAAATATCATTCTAGGATACTGCTTCTCCCTCAAAATGTAATAAAATTACTACTCAAAAATCCCTAATGGGTTTATCAATAAGGTACTAAAGTCTTCTCATATGCTAATTTAAATGTCTCCCTAGAGTCATCTTTCTGGGCACGTGTTCACATCAAAGACCAAATCGTCTCAGCGTCTACACCAGTCTTGTCCTTTTTCTAGCACAGACAGGAACATTCTTGAGTGGTTTTTAAAAATTATGTATTTGCATTTTGGGCAAAGAGCCTGGGCGGGCTCCTGCCTCGCTGATCAGAGCTGCCCAAAGCCAACGTGCGGCTCTCTTCTGGAATGTCCGTTCTCTACCCAGGACAGCCAACTTGCCCTCCTCACTCTGCTGCCAGCTGACCTCACAGCTTCCCTTCCCAGGGAAAGGTGACAAGAGGAGGCCAGATCCGTTCGCAGCTCCCCAGCACTGTCTGCTGCAGCTCTGAGTTCTGACCTCAGAGAAATTACAAATCGCTACATGCTTTAGTCCTGGAGGGTAGCTGGGAAGAAATTAGCTGATTTCAGAGTTCTTTTGGACTTGTGATTTTGCCTTTTGTGTTCTGATATTAGCACACACTGGTTTTGGTGTTTTCACGTTAACACTTTGGGTCTTCAGTTTTAGATATGTCGATCTGTAGGTCCATTTGACCTCCACACATCGGAATTTGACTATCTCCCTGTGCATTAACCAAGACACTGGACATCCTGCACATTCCAGACTGCTTGGCCACCAGCAGTGCCTCGCAGAGTGCCTTGGCGCAGATGTCCCCTACCAACCTCGCCCCTACCCCCTCCATCTCCTGCCAGGTACATACTGCAAATACTGGCCCAACACCGTTGTCATAACAACCCTGTTTTACCCCCTCCCTGGCCCAGGCATAGACCTGCCTGCATCCTAGACCAGTCTGCTGCTAACTCCAGCTGTTCTGACCTTTGTACTGAATGGTCCTGCAGATCTGCGATCTACCCACTTGTACTGATGGGCTCGTGTTAGGAATCCACCACAAGCACAACACACCTACTCATCAAGATACAGTTAACCCAGTGAAGCTATGACACAAGGACCTGGCACCAAAGGGAAAAGAGTTCTCTCAGGTGGACTGAGGCTAAAGGAAGAGAGTTTGTGAAGAAGCCCATGGGTGAAGGCTTTTCAGTCCCCAAGCTTCGTCGTATCAGATCACCCTGTTGACAAAGCAGCGCTTGCAAGGCTGTTAGGATAGAATCTAGAAATAGCTTCATTATTGACTATTACAATATTTGTCAACATGAGATTTTTTTTGCTTGTATATGCGTTTAAATAAGATTTCTGGCCATCATTGTTTATAGTCCAAATATACTAATATTTCCACATAGCAAATTCTAAAAAAGACAAATGAAATATTCAAATAACCTAAGTATTGTATAAATATCACCCGACACATAAAAAAAACCTCTGATAATGTGAAAAGATGAAAAAGGCTAAACTCAAGGAAATAAAGGAACTATAAATCAAAAAACTTTAGAGCTGCTGGAGAGACACTTTAATTTCATAGACAAAGACTGCATTAAGGAGGAATAATGCAATAATCAAAGGTGAGCGGAGCTCCATTGTCTGGCATCTTTCTCTGTGGGAATTTTCCCACCCCTGGCAGCTGTAAGGGGGGAGGGGCGCTGAACGTGGCTGTGCCTTTATTCCCTCACCCCTTTTCCTCCCCAGCCCCCCACTTCTCCGTCAATAAATGTCTGCAATCATATTCTTGAGCTCCTGTGTGATTTCAAGGTTCATCTCTTCCATACAGCTCAAACACTAATTATCCCAGCTGTAATTAGTAAGATAATTAAATACTGGCTCACTCATCACTCTACCTTGGGTCGGGTCGTGATTCTCCCAGAAGACCTTGAGCAGTTCCGCAAAGCTGATGTGTTCTGGCTGGTACACAACCCGCACGACTTCTGCATGGCCAGTTTTTTCTTGAAAGAAACAAAACGTACAAGCACCATTTACTGACAACATCGATTTATTGCAAATTATTTGTTCTGACAGAAAAAAACCACAACAACAACAGACAAAAACTGCAATTCTTCCCTCTGAAGGAAAAGCAGAGACATAATTGGACCTTAGCTAACAGGCTCAGCCTCGACTCCCATGGCTGACTTTCTCCACAAACACATACAGTCATCCTCTCGCACACCTCGTGGGATGACTTAGTCGTGCTCAGGTTTCTCTGACTGCATGAGAAACAAATTGATATTTTCTTTTTTCTACTCCCGCTCTTATAAAACCTCATAGACACAGCCCGTGATCACACTGGAGACTGGAAACTGCAGAGGAGACAGAGCCAATTTATTTCTTACCATTGCCCCATGCTATCCAGAGTAGACTCTGCTCCATTGCACAGCGACATGGTGCCAGAGACAGAAGCATGTTAGAACAGCCTCACCACCCATTTGCGTTAGATAAATCAACCAGCGCAGCGGTGGCATTTGCTGTGCAGGAAACACCAAGGCCAGGCTGAGTCCAACGCACAGTAGGGTGGGAAGTGTTTGCTGAGCCTAACCCCTCTCGGTGGTGAGGATGCTGTGCAGAAAATGTCTCTGCAGGTGCCCCTGTGAGGTGGTGCCCCTGTGAGGTCAGCCTAGGCTGGCTGGGGAAGTGGGTATCTGTAGTTCTACTGGAAACTAGGGAATCCATGACCGTCCCTATTGTGCCATGTTGGAAGCTGGTAAGGAGCAGGCCCTTGGTGCTAACAGCATCTCTATATTTAAATTGGCTTTGTATCTTGTGTCAGTCATCTTGTTAGGTAGTAAAGAATTCAGTCTTGATCACAAGTTGGCTAGCCTTTCCCTTCTCTCTTGCAGGAGGATCTGTGAGATCTCAGCTAGAAATATGGCCAGCCATGATGGCTTTTAGGATGGGGGTGAACAGCCTTAGTATGGGGCTGTCCAGGGTGGAAGGGCAGCCATGTGACAAGATTTGCTGTGAGGCAGCCTGGAGACCGAACTCGGCCCTGGGGAGAGTCATGCAGAGGTCTTGCCTGCATAATAAGTGGATTTCCCAGGTAGGAAACACTCTGGTCACTGTCACGCATGGATGCCAGGAGGGTAACACATCTGACCTCACAGGACAGAAGGACAGCAGCCCGGAGTTCCTCCCAGAAGGTGCCCTTGGCCTCCCTCACTGGTTGGGAGCTGTAGCCTTTCCTGTGGCCATCAACTACACATGCACCAGCTCACAGGGAGTTCCCGTGGTCCTTCCAGAAAACCAGAAAATACAAAGCATTTACAAAGAAATCCCTGGACCTGCACCTGACTTTGCAGGAGTGTTTTCCTGTATGCTGGCCTCATTTTTGTTTTCACAACTGCCCAGTTCCATAGGCAGTGAAAACAGAAATCCATGTTATAGACCGGAAGGCTATGATGCTGGTAAGTTAGATCTTCCTGTGGTCACATGGGCTTTGGGAGGAAAAATACTCTCTGATTTTTTTTTGTCCTGGGTTCTACTCTATATAGCAAAGAAAGAGCGAGTAAGGAGCCATCAAGAATTTGTGACTCCATGAAGGAAAGAAATCTACTATCTTCAGTCTTCTTTTAACATTTAAGGTCCTTTCTGGTTGTAGAAGAAATATTTTCAAGCAATATGACACTTAGAAATGTGGGAAGTGTGGGGGCAGTATACAAAGAAAAAGTAGATTCACCTATACTCCTCCTGCATGTATACATTGTAAATATTTGTAGGCATTTCTCCAGATGTATAACAGAGGCCTAAATGCGTACCCACGCTTACATGCAATTATTCAGTCATAACTGGAACAGCATGCTTTTCCTGCTAAACAGTAAATGCTGTCTTATCACACCACTGAAATTTTTAGGGAATCTTACTTTAATAACTATATAACATTCCATCACATGGCTTTCCAATTACATATTCAATTATTCCCTGTCATTGGGCATTTTTGACTGTCTACTATCTTTATCCCTGGAGGTAAACATTTCCCCACACTTCTGAGGCTGCCTCAAGACATAGTAGTACAAATGGAATTTCTACACCAACATTTATAAACATTTTAAAATTTCTTGATGCCTGCTGGCAGACTTATATATTCAGTAAAGTCAACTCAATTTTTTTTTCTTTCCCATGACAGCTCACTACCACATTTTTTGTAATCTTTGGTAACTTATAGCTAGAGGGTAAGTTTAATTGTTTATTAGAATGATTTTAGTTATTAGGGAAGTAGAAGTAACTTTAGTGCTTATGTTGAACTTAATCTTTTTTTCTAACTTTCATAATGTCTTTTGTACATTGAGTTATAAGTTGGTTATATTAGTGGTTTATTACTGATTGGTCAGTTAATTCAAATATCATAGTCATTTAAAGGAATGACAGTAGACAGATTAGGAAGAACCATCTCGGGATAAAACCCCATCAGATCCACTATAAATCTCATTTGGCTGTGTGAAATGTTTAAATGAGTGAGTTAATTGAAAAAGCATTCAGACTCTCTGAATGTTTTAAGGTAGTTTGGTGCTTGTGATTCATGCCTGTAATCCTAGCTACACAGAGGCTGAAACCCAGAGTATCAAGGTTCAAAGCCAGTCCAGGCTGAAATTTTTATTTCCAAAATCATGAGCGAAAAAGCAAAGCTGGGGCTGCAAAGGTGGCTTAGTGGTAGAGTGCTTGCCTAGCATGCATGAGTCCCTGGGTTCAATTCCTCAGTAGTGCATAAACAAAAAATAAATTAACTAATTAAAAGAAAAAATAATAGTTTAAAAAAAAGCAAGGCTAAAAGCATGGCTCAGCTTCTGAGCTTGGCAGCTCAGTGAGCGTGAGGCCCTGAGTTCAAGCCCTGGTACTGACACACATACCCAAAAAAATAACATACCATTTCTTATTAATTGTATTTTCTAACAGCAATCCTTAGACTGCTAGTGTTGCTGGGCAGGCAATGAAGCTGGTGGCCTTGTTTGGCCAGAGCCAGGGAAAAGTTACGAACTCCTTTCTCACAGGCCTCTGGTATATATGGCAAGAGCCACAAAGAGACTCAGACATGGCGATGAGCTGGGCCCGGAGATACAGCTCATAGGCAAAGCCCCAAATTATGGAAATGTGATAAATGCACAAAAAATCATCCCATCATTATTCCAGAGGTGTAGTGCTGTAAGAAACACCAAGTCCAAAGAAGAGAAGTAAATTAGATTGTGACTATGTGAGGAAATACCATGGGTATCACATCCTCACCACAGAGAAAGCTGCGATTATTTATTGAACATCAAAAAGATGACAGATGCTTTGTCTACTTGCCTTTGATGGCTCACTGAAGCTTTTCCTAATTCTCTCCTATGCTGACAACATATATACAACATAAAGTGTACTACTGGCATGCTAACAATTGAAGTGTACAGTTAGGGGTGTTAGGTTCATCTACTGGGGTGCAACATCGCCACAACCCTCTCTAGAACTCCTCATCTTGGAAAACAGAGACTCTGTGCTCATTGAACACCAACTCCTCATCTTCTCTCCCTTGTGTCTAGTAACCCTACTCTCTTTCTGTCTCCAGGAATTTGTCTGCGCTAGGGATCTCGTATAAGTGGAATCATACAGTGCATATATTCTTCTGAGTAGTATATTTCACCTCCACATTGTAGTGCATGTCAGAATTTCCTGAGAGAGAGAGAGAGAGAGTCCTGCCACAGTTGCCACAGTTTGCACATCCACCCATCCGCCAATGGACACTTTGGTTGCCTCCACCCTTTTATCTGCTATCAAAACACTTTTATGAACACAGGGCACAAATATTACTTGTAAAATATTATTGTTTTCCATAGATGAGTTTTCTCCACCCTCCCATAGCTAGTAAGCTGTCAGACAACCAGGTTTCAATCAGAGATGGAGCTTGTGCCCAGCCCATGGCCCCAGCCAAGGCTTTAGAATGGAAGAACTCAAAGTGACCAAGAAAGAACAAACGTCACAGCCAGCACCCAGAAAAGAAATCACAGCTATATGGTCATTGATACTCAGGCTGTCCTGAGTAGTCTACAGGATTTGGCTCTTCTTTGGTGATAGCAATATGGGGTCCAGAAAGAGCCATTCAGTGGTAAACACTCCCCAGCATTATCTCCCAGTCACTATTTGCTGAGAGGTTTAAAGAAGCCAGGCTGTTCAAGAGAAACTGCTATCATTCAAGTTCAAGCTCCATTTGCATTGACAAACAGTGCAGAGATGCCCTTGTCAAACTCACCTTTCCGTTTCTTTACTTTATTTCTCCAAAGTAAAAGAACCTGTGTAAAAATACACAGTGCAAATGATCAAAAGGATTAAGGGACTGAAAAGCACTTATGGAAATGCCCACGCTTTGCAGCAACGAGCCAGCGTGCCAGGCTAATTTCATTCCAGAGGCCAATCTGCAAACAGTGTTTTGTGCTTCTGGAGATAAAAGGCTGTATCTTCAAAATATTTCAGGCTGCACCTTCACATCATATCGTGCAAATAGCATGGTAGATGTGATGTGCAAACATGCTTGTTAACAACGCACAGCGGCATTACACCGGTGTACGAAAATATCTTTAGAGGAAAACGGCAAAGGATGCAATCCTCCCTGAGCACCTTGCTCTGCTGCCTATACCCAGAGGAAGGAGGTCACAGGCAGAGGGTTAGCAGGGGGAAGACATTCCTTCTGAGACAAAGCAACTGAGGAAAAAATACTAGGAGTGTTCTCGGCACAGATCAGTGGGTGAAGAAGCTAGCGTGAAGAAATGCCTAGGAGCTTGGCTGGGGAGACCGAGTGCCCAGACGGGCATCCTGGCCACTTAGAAATTTTCTCCTTTGGCTGTGGCTTTCTTATCTGCAACATAGGGATATTACTAATATTCATCACAGGAGACGGTTCTGCTGGCTAGCTCAATAATCCAATGAGAAGCAGTTAGAGTAGTCTGACACATCACACGTGAAGGAACTCATTCAACACTAGCTGTAT